AGATCGATCCCACGAGGAAGATTTAGTTTAGATTTTTATGTTATGGATTATGCAATTTGGGGGGGGTGTTTGGATTTATGATGATTTAAACTATGACAGAAATTAAACTAGCAAACAAAATCAATTGAAACTAAAATATATTAAGAAAACAAACCTTGGTTGCAAGCACACATCCACCAACGCAAATTAGAACCAATCCTTGAAACGAAACACCAGTTTATATTATGAATTTTATCTTTTCTTAATATTGGTTAATTAACGGATCCGCCGTATAACTAGCCCTAACCAACAAACAATCACAGTGTCCGCACTAATGATTTAATCCAATGGCAGCCTTAAGATCCAGATAAATTCATTAATCTTAACAACCAAGTTGTCAGTTTGTGTTGCTTTGATCGAATGTTCTCCTTAAGTTTAATAACATAGTTCCGCTACAATTATCAAGCTTAGTTGCTTCACAAGTTTATATACCACAACTCCGGTTTTGATATCAAACTTAGCAATAGATTGTTCACAATAATAGCTTAGAGTCCGCTCTAGCAATTAAGATAAACAATCATAGGAAATATGCATAAGAAAACAATCATACTCATTCATAACATAAACTAAAAATAAAAGGAAGAATAAATCTCACGGTTCTTGAAATCCGAAGATTTGTTGTGTCCTTGCAACCAAGAAAAGAGCTTAGCCTTGCATATCTATTGAACAACCACTCCTAAAGATGGAAGAATACATGATTTCTTATTTGTAGAGGGGAGTTTGTGTTTTTTCACTTCTTGCTGCCACCTCTATTTATACACAAATTGTAAGTAAGAAAAATCAAAGTTCAAGTGTGAACATCAATAGATGGTGGTAGTGTGAAGGCGGCTGGCGGCGGCTGGCGGCTGGCTGGTGGCTGGCTTGAGGTTGGTGGCTGCCTTCCTTAACCTTCTAGAATATTTACTAGATGAGCTAAATTGCTGAAAACACTTGTATGTCGGTTTGGATGCTTCTGGATGAAATTTGGATTCGTTTCTTCACGCAACCTGCTTGCTGGCAGAATTCAGCTGTCATCTTTGCAAAATCATATCTCCCTCATATGACATCGGTTTTGGCTGAAATTTGGAGCGTTTATAGAGCGTTGAGTAAGGAATCCAAAACAATTGAGTTTGCATCGATTGGACTTCTAAAGCTCCAGATATTGAATTTTGAATGGGCAAAGGTCAACATTGGCAGACTGCGAGATTTGACTTTGAAGGTTGTGATTTCCATGATCTTTCTCTTTTTATTTTTCTTGCATTACATTTCCAGAAAGGTATGGATGTTAGCTTTATAATGCCATTAGAATCACTTCGTTTCGACCTCTAGAACTCACGTTCTGCACAAAACATCGACTGAACATCAAATCTGCCAATTACCTCCAATTTACTCCTTTTTGCATTTTTCATCCAAAAGTACCTTCAAAACATAAAACAAAGAATATCAAGGCATTTTATATAAATAACATAGGCAAAACACTAGTTAAATGCGGGTGAAACTATCGAATAATATGGTTACATCAAGCAGTACTTCGGTGTGGCTAGAATTGGGGCTGACGAACAGGTAAACATCACAGCAATGTATTTGTCCAGTGACACGAAGCTGTGGTGGACTCGGATCAAGGATGATTTGAGTGCGGGGCATCCTAAGATTGAAACTTGGGAGCGCCTAAAAAAGGAATTGAAAGAACAGTTCTTGCCGAAGAACACGTCTTGGCTGGCTAGGGATGATTTGAAGAAATTGAAGCAAGACAAGTCGGTGAGGGATTATGTCAAAGATTTCAGTTCTTTGATCTTAGACATAGAAAACATGTCTGAGGAGGATAAACTATTCAACTTTATGTCAGGCTTACAGCCTTGGGCACAGGCTGAGTTGTGAAGGCAGAATGTCAAAGACTTGCCATCTGCCATCGCTGCCGCAGATAGTTTGGTCGACTTCAAGACGGTGACGCGAGATGGTTCTGTTGCTGTCCCCTCGAGATTCAAGACTAGGGATAAGAGGGATGAAACGAGGAAGACAAAGAAGTTTGGTGGGGGAGGATACAAGCCTGGGTTTGACAAGGCAAAGAGCAAGCAGGCTGATGTGCAACAAAGTAGAGACTCCAACAAGCCAAATGCAGGTTGTTTCATTTGCGGTGGACCACATTATGTAAGAGAATGCCCGAAAAAGGAAAGGTTGAATGCAATTCTTATGGGTGACAGTGAGCAAGAGGAGACAGTCACGCACATCAACCCGATGCGTGTACTGAATTGCTTGGTTGTTGAGATGCAGGATTCGGTGGCCGAATCCAGCCTTGCTGACATTGACTTAGCACGGATTGATGTGCTACAACAAGGTAAGTCAGGTGTTGTGTATACTCTAATGTATGTTAAAATTAGAGTTAATGATAGGGAGATAGTTGCTATGTTGGATTATGGTGCCACGAATACATTCGTTGCCGATAGGTTGGTGACACAGCTTGGGTTGTGCCTGAGTAATAACC